GCTCTTGGCGCTGGCGTCATGGCCAGTTCTCAAACTCTCCCATCTTGCGGAGAGTGTTGGCGTTGCGGGGGAATTCAGGATCGCGGCCACCTACACCACTTGCTCCACTTCTTCCCTCGTAATGTCCCCCAAACCCAGGCTCCACTTCTCCTTTCATAGTGTGGCCCCCTCAAGTCCTGCTCCGGAGGCTGCACACAAGCCACTTCAGAACCCCAAGACAAATCACTGCCATTTGAACCCACCTCACCCACTTCACCCACTTGCCCCACCTGCCCCGCCTGTTCCACTTGCCCCACTTGTTCCACTTGCCCCACTGTCAAGTGGGTCAAGTGGGGCAACCGGGGCAAGTGGGTCAAGTGGGACGGACGCCTATGTGGTCACAATGATCTTTCGTGCGATCGCTGTGATTTGAAAGTGGCCCAGTTTGCCTTTACAAGCCTGTCTGTCTGTGTTTTTGGTTGCGGTAGCTGTCCTGGCAACAGTCCTGGGCGAATGTGTCCACTAAAGTGTTCTCCCATTGCCGTCATTTCGGCCAGCATTGAAAACAGAGTCAGCGTTGCTGATGAAGTTGCCAGTGATGCCCCGATGGTGCTGTTCACTGTTTTTAGACGCTTCTCAATCTAGCAATGTAGCGATATTCCCCGTCTACAAGCAGTCGCCTGCGGCTGCATAGTGCCACCATTGCAACTCCAAGCCCAGGTTGCCGAAGCCGGGCAGCTGCAGCTCCCCCGCCTGCCTGAAATGGCAACCGGAGTCCGATAGGATCTCAGAGCTGCATTCACTGGTAACAAAAGCACAACGCAGCTCTCTCTGTGCTGGCCAAGACACTCAACTGGAGGATCCCATCCTGCTGTGACGACCATGCCTCACCATACAAAGCAACGTTGATTTACGTTGAGCTCCGTGCTCACAGAAAGCTACACAGTAAAGCATCAACATGAACCTCCGTTACAGCTGAGCTTTCAAATCTGTGGATTGCTTCTTGTCCGCGGTCCATCCGGATTAAGTTTCCGGCCGCTAGTGTACGCGTGGCCAGCCCAGCGGCGCACCTCACTTCCGGTCAATGCTGAAACAGACTTGCCATGCCTACTGAATAAGTCCCCTGTGTCGCAGCTACTTCCACCTGGTTCTTGTGCTGCACGCCATGATGAAGGATGAAGGGACCAGCGGAGCGCGTCAACAAGCAGACGCAGCACGCCTCGAGAGGGCCGCAAGCTACGCGAAGAGAGCAGATCGTGGAGATCAGCAGGTTGGAGCCAACCTCCTGCGAGCAAAACGATATGTCCAGCCCACTTCGACTGTCTCAACAGAAGCGGACATGGCTCATCTGTTGTTATTGCACAGCAAGTACGACATTCCATCTTGAGCTTCGCCCTCTTGACTCTTGACGAGTGAGGAGACAAGAAAACGACAGAACGCGCAGGAACCTGATGCCGGCTGCCCTCGCTGGCGGCGATGCTGGCATGGAATCCAATCACCGCAGTTCCAGGTGGGCAGAGTCCTTAAGGCTTTCTCATACTCTCCTTGGGTCTGATGTCCCTGCTGGAACGTGCAAGGCAGGCGAGCATCTTCCAACGTCTGAGGCAGCCGATTATGCCGTCACATGCCGTAACAATTCATTCACTGAAAGCTAAGCGGCGACGCGGCCTTTCTGAGGCTGCTCCAACAGCACAGGGCTCGCAAGAGCCCAGCGCCTCCAACCACCGGCTGTGTTAAAAAATGGTCTAAAGTGAGTCCTGATGACGTCAACCTCAATCTGCACAGCTGAGGCTTCACACCGCTGCTTTGAATGACTAGTTGAGAACAACTCATCTCTTTTGTTAGGGGGAATCCCCGCAATTCTAGTAGAACGCTTTCGCCCTGAGTGCGAGCAGACAGCGCCGGAAAGGAGGCCTGCCTCGATGTACTGAAAGTCTTCATAGCAGCAGCACATCTCCTGGGTTCTGCGCAGCCTAGATGCACAAGAGCTGTCTTCGGGTAACCAAGCATGGACTGAGGTCGTAAACCCTTCCCCTAGACTGCCAAATGTCCTCAGGGACAGCCAAGTCACAGGATCAGGGCACGGCTTGAGGTTCGCCATCCTTGCGGATTGAAAGTCTGACAAACCAATTGGATCAGCACCTTTCAGCTCAATCTTACACACACCCAGCTACACAATTTCAATGTTCAGTGCAAGCTGAATTCTGGCCGGGAGGCCCCTGGCAGCTTGCCCAGGTCTCCGAGCCATTGATCGGCACCAGGCCAGTGCAGTTGGCGCCGGTCTCCTAACACAGGCGTGGTACTGTTTGCTGGTACCTGCGCTGCATCCAGCCAAGCCCCTCCAGCTCGGTCGAGGCCACTTCGGGCTGCAACTCTTCATGAGCATCAGCATCCCAGGGAATCTCTCGCTCCACCTGCGGCAAATCCAATGTGCAAATAAAGTTGCGCTGGCGCCGTCCCGCCTGCGCCCAAGCCGCGCAAGCGACTGCCAAGCCGGCTGCCTCCAAAGATCTCATTCGTTCTCATTCATTTTGCGGTCCAAGTCCTAAACTGAAAGCAATTTCCACCAAAAGTGCTTTCGGCACCTTGCGTCGCCGCCACAGTGCCAGTCGAACACCCACCAGCAGAGATGACGCCCGCTCATCACACCGAAGCACTTCTACCTCCACAATCCACCGAGCCAGACCGAGGGTGCTATGTGTGACGCTTGCTAGCTTCATTTCTGTAATTACAATTAAGCCCGTAGGTGGAAGGTGGAAGCAGATTCCGCCTTCGCATCACCCTCGTCCGCAAACGAGTTGAGCTGCCTGTTGCCAGCCAAGCCCGTTGAGCCGGCTACAGTCAGCCACTGCGTGTGGTTTGTTCCAACATCAAGCTCCTGCGACGAAGGGAACAAATTGCAAGCTGCAGGACAAAAACTCGTAATCACCTCCACTGCATTATTTCGCCTGTTTGGGCCATTTGGCTGCTGGACTAGAGTAAGCTGAGTTGCTAATATACGCTGCACCGACCAGTCCTGGCTACAAAGGAGTTGAAGGCTGTCCATCCACGAATCGGCTCCTCCCAGCCGCACCACGCGCACACCTTGGCAGTCTACCTAAAAAAAAGGCTTGCGGTTCCCTTGGAAGAGACCGGCAAGAGCTCACAATCTGTCACTTATGAATCGAAAGCAAGCGGCCGTTTGCAAACATGCCCAAAGGGCATGGAAAGTATGACCTAGGCTGGGATCGTTCATATCGAGGTAACGTCACAGTTCACAGGACTCAAAGGAAGATCTGCTGGCATCAGCTGGGAATAGCTACAGTAGCTGCAGCACTGCATGGCCAAACTTCCGCGAGTTCAGCGAAGACTTTGCAACTATTTGTGCGGCCTGGGAACGTCTCCTGAGCTGCACATTCTTCAAGATCAACGGAGTCCTGCGCAACTACGTCTGTTGGAACTGGCCGCGAAACATCCCTGCGCACCTGCTTTCTGTAGCGCTCCGCTGTATGTGGTAGACTGCTTGCATGGTTGTCAGATTGGAGTCTCCTCTGCTAGGGTGACAACGTTCACCTCTGCCCGCACGCCTGTGCCATTGCCTTCGCGCAGGCACAACTCCTATCTTAAACTTCTCCTCAGAGAATCTCTAGCTGTAACATCTTGGCGTTTTAGTTGCCTGTATGACATTGTACACACCATGTGGCAGCTATGTGTTACAAAATGTACTTGCTACCGCAAGGGACAGGAGTAAAAGCTCGTGAGTGTTGAGCCGGTCCCTCATGCCCTTGCCTTCAGCGAGCACTGTCTCATTCTCTTGAGCAGCCTCGAGTTGAGCCTCATTGCAACATAGCTGGTATTTCCCATAAAGGCTGAGAATGTCAATGTTCTGACAGCTCGCTTAGCTGGACTCTTCAGACCTGCTCTTTTGTGTTGCTTTGCTGTTTGGGGGATGATGGCAACAGCCGCCGGAACCCGGCGCCCCCAGTGTTGCAATGCTTTGCTTTCAGGCGCAAAACGGTAAACTAAACACTATCCAAATGAGCCTTGTAAACAAATCAAGAACAACACGGGCAGATGTCAAATGCCGCAGCGCCGGAACAAAAACTAAATACTAAAGCGACGTTACATGAAGAATCAGCCGAAAAACGCAGAACTGCTCGCTCGCCCCGTCTCTTCCTCCCTTGTTTGTCTATGTCTCTGTGTTGAGGATGCGGGGTAGCCCCAAATCGACTCTTGTTCTTCTTGTATAGGATATACTCCCCGGAATGAGAGGAGTCGGGGCGAACCCCGTAGCCCGCAAGAGTTCAGTTTGGTTCGGGACCACGAGGAGGACCGGAGTAATTATTTACGCACTGGTTTATCGGGTAGGGTGACCCCAAGCCCAATCGACTCTCTCTATCTCTGTCTTGTCTCTCGCGAGCTCTCAGCCCGCCGCGGAAGCCAATTGCAACACACCCTGGCCCTCATGGCTGTCCACCAACTGCCTGGGCCGATTCCCTGCTATCTTGATACACTGTAGTTGCACAGCGTGTGACACAATCACCAAAGTGGAGACACAAAATCGTCTGCTTTTTGAGCAGGCTGCTGCTCCACCAAAGCGCCGTCTTCAAAGAGAGAGGCGACCCATGTAGATGACAATGGCAAGCGTACGGAAGACTTGTCCGCCGAATCCAGAAGGGTGACGCCTGAAGCTATGGCGGGTTGAGGCAGGAAGCTTCAGCAGCCAATGTCAGCATTGCTTTAAATCGGACAGCGAAAATGATTGGTTTGAGGCTGCAGCCTTGGATCTCCAGGACCTCCTGCAAAGGCAGCGTCGGTAAAGCAGTGTAGCCGAGTGTGTAGACCTGGGCTGCAGGACGGCAAGACGTAGTCTCTCTCCATGACGTGGGGCACGCGCCACTGCATTTGGAATTAACTATTTACGCCCAAATCCGTTGGTCTTCATTGCAAAGCCCTGGCACATGGCATGTGGATGCTGCTATACATGGAAAGCAAACCATTTGAATTTCTTTTCTCGATCAAGCTGTCTCGAGCAGGCTGCGTCATTCGCTGGCAAGGTCGAACTTGTCTGCAACCCCTTCGCCCTCCGCACGGCACGGAAAGACCCGGCGCCATTGCCGCCATGTAAGGAAACACGTCTCTTCCGAAGCATATAAGTAGCCTGCTACAGTCAGGCTAACGTCTATTACCTCCCCTTCAACTTCCTTGTCGGGGTAGCACCAGTGCCTCCACATTGTCACAGCAGACTCGTAGGTGAGGTAAGCAGCAAGTACGAGCTCTGCAGCTTCTCTCCAGGAGGAGTGCCTTCCCTGATACCAAACACTCAAAAAAACTTCCAGAACCCACACGAACGTCGTTGCAAAGCTCCAAAGCAAGTATAGTTGAGATCGAAACTCATCACGCCGGCCGCTGTCCATGATAATTATCACCAGCCTTGGGCCCAAATGAGTACATGGGTTGCCTAAGGAAACATTCCTAAGTACCAGACTTGTCTTTTCCAAAATACTCGCACTTTTCACTGATTCGCGGCAGCGGGGCATTGCAATAGACCAGGAAAGAACACCGACATTGATGGCAGCCCAAGGCCCAGGGCTCTTCTCCTTATTCGTGCGTGTGGGCCGTTCTGCTTGCAACGCGGCCGCGGAAATAGAGTTAATTTTCTTTTAGGAACTGCTTCTGCCATGCTTAGCAAAGGGGTGAGCCGGACCACTGCAAATAGATGTCACCGCCTGAATCATGAACCAACACCCTTGTGGAACCTGCCCAGAAATTATGTGGTACCGCGTCTCTGGCGCATACATCAGAAGTCCGCTGCTGTAAGTCGGCAGTTCCTCCTGTCCACCGTCGAGAGGAGCATAGCTTTCAGTACTCGAAGCCATGGCACGCGCTAAGTCTCTAAGTCTTCTTCTAGCTGGAGATTGCGGCTAGCAACATGCCATTCTTGGACCTGCTTGCGCTGCACTGCTGCTATGGAATGCCACCATTGGCATTTGTTGTCTCTTGCAAGCTAGGTAGATGCCTAAGGCATCATGCCATTCGGAAAGTCATCTGGCCCCTATCCTGCTGGTGAGAACTATCCAATGATTTGATACTGGATGGCGATGGATTTTATGGGGCTTCAAGATGTCCCACCCGTGTCTTGGTTTTGATCATTCAGCAAGCTCTATGCAATTCTTGTTGTTCCAAGCTGTTGCTCCTTAGCAGGTTGCTGAGGGCACGACGTAGGCCTCACTTCCATAGCAAAGGCATCGCCATCGCGCCACTGACAACATGGAGGTGTTCAGCACCTTCAACTCACGCCAAAGCACCAATGCATGTGCGAGGTCAACCAGTGAGGCAGCCATCTTGAAGAGCAACGGCAGCCAGACCCTTTGCTTTGCTGAGAAAAGTCTTCCACTGCTTCAGAGCCACTCGACAATTGTCGACCCATCGCAAGGGTGCTGGCGCAGTGATCCGCACGAAGTCCCCTGACTCACAGAACTTTGCTGGGCTTGGGAATCAGGCCCCAGGCTATGCACTGCAACAGGTTGTGGCAAACTTGTTTGAACCCCCCTGGCTCAGCTTTGATAAAAGCAGTACGGCCAAAGGCACTTGGCATTCATCCTGCCTAGCGCTGCCTGCGCAGCATCTGCAAAATCGGAACTGCGAGCTCCTGATCAGCAGACACCCTTGTTTTCTTGCACACCGCTGCTAGATGGACGAAGGCTATTCTTGCTGACACCTTGGCGGAAGGCAGCGGCGAGTCGCCCAGCAGCAAGCCGTGAAGAGCGTACAGGTGGCGCCTGCGCTGCGGAGAAAGCTCGCTGAGCGTGTCTGCACATCTGAGGGTAGATCGTACTTCAAGTAGAAATGCTTGTGAGCCGCGGAATGAAATCATGAGACCATCCTCAAACATGTTGTGATCTGCCTTCGGCAGGGAGAGGGCCAGCTGCAAGCGGATCCCAGATCCTAGCGTCTGCTTGCAGGCGCTTTACTTACGTGCCTGCCGTGAAGTGCAATGGCGCAAAGCGGCCACTGCACATGTTGCATTTCCTTGTAAAAACCTTTTGGCTTTTTGCAGGAATTCCATTCCTCAACAACAGGCCGGTGCCATGCCTCTGTCTACAGCAAGTGCAGCCGCGGCAGGAAGCTCCTGTGCGGCTTCCGGTCTTTCAGGTTGTCAACACAACTACATACACGTCGTTCACGTTTGATCCCAGTCCAATCTCAAGGCATCTGGCTATTTCCGACTTCAAAAAAGTGTGCCTTTTTTCGTCCGCCCAAGTCCATATACAGCTCAGTCATGCTCAGTCTTCGCGGTGGCTTGCAGACGTGCCTACACGTCTGCAAACCACAATCACAAACAGAATCGATGATTTTCTCCATGTAGCTTGGCCATCATGGAGCTCAGGCGGCATCAAAACTTGGGGCTGACGGCACATTGCGTCATGCAGTCGTTGGCGCCGCCGCACTGCCGCGACCTGCGTGTACACATAAATCACATGCTGGGCCGGGATATGTTTGTGGCCACGACTTCATGACCTGCTCAACATTCTTTCTTAAAACCTTTGTGGTTTGATGCAAGTGATAATAACCAGAGACAGCATCCCGCCTAATGTAGCGACGCTTGATGGGCATGTAGCCCTTTTTCGATATAGACAGAAACCTCAACGCAAACACGGGGCATGTACTGCCGGTGTGGAACTCTGTAAGCCTGCAAGCATTCTCAAAACATTGCCCAGAAGGAAGCCACAGCGTCAAATCACCAGCCAGTTGCAGCAGAATCACAAAACATCCGCATCCTCGGGGACTTCGAAGGTGGCCATGCCCACTTTTGAGGTCTTGCCCTGGAAAGCAAGGCTAAAGCTGGTCCATGCTGCTGCGTCGTGGGTCTCAACCCCAGACATTAGTACCCGGCCTCAGCAATCTGTTGTTGCTTGCTGCTCAGAATCTTCACTGGCACGGCCTTCAAAGTTTTGCCTGCAGGATTACACATTCAGCAGACTGAAGTGCATTGGAATCCTTGCTCGTTTCGCTGCGCTGTGATATCATTCTGCCACTGACCAAGGGGCACTTGCTCCACTTCCACACAAACTTCGAGTGCCTGCATCCCGTGTCCTCCCCCGGTCCACTGCCCCGCTATCTCTCCAGTTCTTCGTATTCTGCTTCTTGTTCTACTTTCATGTTCCTGGAGGCCACAAGCTTTCACCTGTCCAGATAGGGCTAATACCCACACTTTCTTTCCGTATCGTTGGCGGCTTCGAACTGCCTTCATGGAGCCCACCTTATCCACAACTGTCATGCTGATTTAGCACTGGCCAGTGCAGAGTGCAGATCGCATGGCCTGTTGGTATCCCAACTGAATATAGAGAAACTTAATGCCCTACTATAGCCGGCACATGACCCTGTCTGGCTTTCAAATTTCAAGCCTGATGTAGCATCCACCACCCTCAGCGAGAGTTTCCAGCTTGATGTTCCTGTTCCAGTCAGCACAGGCACCTGGCGCGAAAGGCAGGAACGGCCCCACATCCCATTTGAACAACAAATGTCCAACAAACGCCCACCACGCTTCCCCTATGCATTCTGGTTTGCATGTCTTGAAGTCTTGAAGTTCCCAATGAAACTTGCAAATCTTGGGGAAGGTTGTTTCCCCAAACACCCAGCTTCAGCAAATCTAACACAGACCTAGTTATGTCGCCAGAGGGATGGTGGTCGTAGCCACGCTCATTCTTCAATTCTATCTGCGAGGGTCGTGCAGGGGGGATCTCCCAGGGTTTCTGCAGAGCGCAAAGCTTACACGGCCACAGCTCAGCAGCTCGGAGAGACACAGGCTTTGAATTGTGTGCTGAATCTGACATCGACCAAGCATACTGTACCGGCTGCCCACCACATCTCGCCGCACTTTTTGTGCCCACCTCCTGGCTGCTCGATGCATCTTCTTCTGTCGGGAGCGTAGGCAGATTCGAGTCCTGCTGCAGAAGCTGCAAGATGACGTCAAAGCCGATGCATGCACGCTCAAATAGTTGGAAAGCCCGTCCATCGCCGCAAGACTTATGCGAGTGAGTAACTCAGCACATGTCGCTTGCGCCGCTATGGCTCCTCTTCTTCGCTTGCCGGAGTGGTATCCTGGGCGACCTCCTCCTCGATGCTGGCAATGCTCGCATCGACTTCCTGCATTCGGCTAGCGGCTAGCGATCACAGAAAGCGCTTTCTAAAACGCCAGCCAAATGGGTGGGAACCTGCAAAGCCACGGACAAGGATTTCATCCCTGTACTGTACAATTGGCTCCAGACCCCAGCTGATCCATAGTGTGACGTATACACGTTGACACAGCACATCGTGCTTCCTCGATTTCGTCGCTCAGGGTTGAATCCTGATAAACCAGCTGTCGTCCAGGCTTCGACGTAGTTGATGTTGCTTCCTGGAGGGATCCCAGGAGCAAGAATCAACTTTTTCCAGTAGCGGAGTACATGGACATTTTGCAGAGCACTTTGACACACATCTTGCAGCTACCGAATCAGAAAAATCGGGCCATGTCCTCGGAAGCTTTTGGCGGCTCAACCACCGGAAGTTGACCTCCCATCTGTAGACATATGAACGCAGCTTGATGACAGGCAAACATCGTCCTAAGCGGCCTACAACAATTATGCACAATCAACTGCATTAAGCACCTCAGTCTGTCTGCTTCGCGAAGCAGTCCGGTAAGCTTGTTTGAGTTGAAGAGGCATGACTAAGCGGCATGGGTGCATCTGTAAATTGTTACATTCCACTGCGGAATGTCGGGCCTGCTGTTTGGTAGTCCTTTCAGTGCTCATAAGGAGGTGACTTGTGTCATGCTCTTGGACCTTCGTTAGGGAAGCCCCGCACAACTTAATTACTCATGGAATAGTTAACGATAATCAGATTGATGTTTTGCTCCCACATCATTGCGGTCGCCGAGGGGGGGGAGGGTGATGGAGCAGGTGCTGCAAACCTTCAGTTGTCAGATCTTCTTGTTCGAAATCAAATTTGTGGCCAAATCTGAAAAAAACCAACAACACAATACTCATGAGGGGTTGGGGTGGGGTAGTCTTTGTGCTGGCCCACAGATTGATTATGCATGCCGAGGAGCTCTTCAAAGGAATTGTAGGCTGCAGCGTCCAGCCCAATACCTTCATAGCCTCCTGTTCAGAAAGCTGCGCATAATGCATGTCACCAATCTGCCCCAGTTAACGGTCATCACGTGGAGCCAGTGGGGTTCTTCGTTCTGTGGAGCTCCACAGCGGGCGCCCTAGACTTCTCCATCGCATCCTCGAAACTATCTAAACCGTCCAGGTTCTGAAACAGCTGAGATACGCCTGATGCTTACATGCAAGCGATCCATGCGCCAGCACCCTGCTACAGGAAGTCTTCCGAGGGAAATCATACAAGGCCTTGTGCGCTTCGAATCCTCCCTGCAAACCAAGGCAGCAGGTAAATGCCCATGCCCCAAGCGCACACAAATCCTTCAGAAAATGGTTACGCCAAGGAATGGAATGCACATGGGGTAGAAGAGATTTCCTGCTAAGGACAACCCAGTCCTGGAATCCAGCTGAGATGGGATCTATTTTCATGTCGATTGGGTTAGCAGTCCTTTGGGATGCTGGAGGAGAGCACGAGGCAACGATTGCCTTGCCATTTCTGCCAGGAGCTGTAGCCAATACCCAACAGGCCGCTGCACTTCTTTCCGGAGACAGCAGCAATCTTGTCCTGCAAAATGCACGGCAGTGAAAGACATGAGGGTGGTTGTCAAAATGTGGTCCCTTTTTGGGTACCCTAAAGATTAGGGGCAGTATTATAATAGGGATCCAAAAAGGGACCGTAATTTTGACAACCACCCATGAACGCCAGCATCAAACGAATATACGATGATATGAGCACT